CCGAACACCAGCAAACATAACACCTTCATCCGCAAACACCATACCATTGTGCCTCCATCCACGGGTCACACCCTAACCACAGGCTATACGCCCAATCAACCCCTCTGATAGCATCTCCTGACCTAACCAGTGCTAAGGTAAAAAACCTATCGCATTCGATCATAATAAAGGAGCCCTGAAACTTAGGAGACACCCATATACTACTACCCGAGATATAGCACCAGCTGCTCACAACACACCACTCTCCAATGGCAACAACCACAACCTTATATAGGGACTAACACTCCCTCAATCGAAACCCCAGTCAGTACATAAGCAAATTTAGTAACGTTACCTACCACGAAGGTAAAAGTCTATTCCTAACCAGATTGTGCACTATGTCCCCGTAAAATACCATGTTAAATACATACTACATCTAGTATTAGTCGCACACTTCACATCCCATTGAGGAGTTCCCGCGACAGTAGATCAACATCACTTTCACGCACATAGGATCAATTAGATAGCGCTAATGAAATTCCGAACACCCGGCAAGTATAACTGTTCTCGCCCTTTAGTAATCCTGATTAAGGTACGCATCCCTCAGTAATCCTTCCAAATTTGAAAACATGGCTCATTAGCCCTGATTTTTCCCAAACCAATCACACGCATACAAATGCATTATTACCAAAAATTTTATGGTCTTACAACAACTTATACATTCATAAAACTTTTAGAGCCACAACATGCTCTAATCTGCCCATTTCAAGAAAATAGATAAGTACAGGCACACATAACTATATATATATATATAGAAACAAACAACCTTGATGTTCCGACGATTCCAAAACACATTGGTTACACAACAGAATCCAATGATTACAAAACGATAATTCACCGATTACAAAACAGATTAGTTAAAACAAAACCACCCCATCGGTATTACCACCACTACCATCCCTCACTGGATAGCTAAAGTTGGTCATCCTCAGACCCAAGATATCCTATGAGCTTACAAGCCACGGACAAAAACTACTAATGTGCCCCAACCGGCCACACTTGGAACAACTGCGAACTTCCCCAAGTGGGACTTGGGAACTCGACTCTCCTGAGGCCCTTGAAATCTGGCCTGATTGTCCTTCAAAACGATACTGCCCCTGTCCAGTCAAATAAGGCTGGACCCGACTAGGTTGTAAAACCCCCAAAGAAGCCCCTGGCTGAGTACAGAAACGTTTAATATGACCCGGCTGATTACACACCCAACAAGTAAACGGCTCTTGAGCACGAGACTTGTTTAAAGTCTGAGCTGATGGAGATCCCAACAACTGTTTCCTCACTGAACACTCGATCGACCCAAAACCCGACTGGCTAGATGATTCTGGTGGGGCAGTTACTGGTCGACCTGCCAACCCTGCCCTCTTTCTCTGTGGGCAAGTTAGGGACTTGTGACCCAGCTGACCACATTTGAAACAAGTGACAACCTTACGTTCACCCTTTCCCAAACCTAGACTCGGCACTGGAAAAATAGAGCCAGACTGAGCTCTCTGAAATTGTTATGGATTACAACCCTTCTGCCTCTTAAAAGGCCTACCAACACTCTGAGTCACAGGAGTCGCCGAAATGGCCTCCTCTCTATTTTGGCCCATAGCTAGCACTGCTGCCTCCACATGAGTTGCAACCTCAACAAATGCACTATAACTCCTATGCCAAGATCCAGCAATCCTTTCTCGGATGTCGTCACACAGCCTACTCTCAAACTCTGAACAACGCAATTCCTCTGTCTCCACCAATTCTGGAGCAAACCTCGACAGGTTAGCAAACCATCTTTCAAACCGTACCAAAGGTGTAGTACCTTGACGTAACTCCACAAACTGTTTTCGTAACTCTTCCCGAGCAGAAGGAGGGAAATCACAACTCCCTCGTCTAGGCATCCTAGTAAAAGTAACAAAGGTATTAGTACAATAACAAGGGTGCTAAAACTATCTCACTAGCGTCCTAACATGATGGACGACTGTAATTCATTCCACGTAAGCACATAAACACATAAGCACTTACGAATTTCATTTCCGGATAATGATAGTTCCGAGGCGTTACTAGAGTTCCGGTTAGAAACAGCATTGATCAAGTGCTTTTCCAACAAGACTCACAGAAACCCAAAGATCCAATTACCATCCCGGAAACTAAATCTCATACCCTAGTAGTCACATAAACATGTTATCACATAAGCACATAACATTACATCTAAGTCTCTAACAAGCGAGACAAACCCATTGTGATACTAATCACTTCCCACGTACCCAAAGTATTCGAACCCGGTACACTCTGATACCAAGTTGTAACGCCTTCAAAATAAACCCATAATATCATACAGTCAAGTTACAGGAAAGAGATATTATATTACAATCATCAAAGTATCCTTACAAATTGTATTACACGTTGACAACAAAAGTAACTGCCCTATAGGCTTACAACTTTCCAAGTCAACACTTGGTTACAAAAAGAGAGTACTAACTCAAATACATATTAAGCCCTTGGCTTGAATTTACATGAAATATATCAAAAGAAAACACAACAACAAAATAGTCTGTCTGCCTCTAGCCCCCCAGCTATGTTCTTGGAGGTGGCATACCATCGGTACCTGAAAATGAAGTCCCATATAGGGTGAGCCACAGCCCAGTAGAAATATAGTAAACCAACTATAAACAATGACTAAAACAATAGCATTAGATAGATGGTCCACATTTATAATCCAACGTATACCATGTTACAGTTTCATGACAATCATGCCCAAATTACAATTCATTTTCCATTTCTTATTCAACTTTAAGTTTGAAAACAAGGCTCAGAGTCTGGCCACATAATTTAATGAGATGATAACTCATCACTAAAATACTTTCGAAATTCATAATGGATACACTTTTTGGTGCTGTATCAAAATTAACAAAAAGATTTCCATATTTCACAAATGATACAGATATACATTTTAGTGCTATATCAAATCAAACAAACACTTTCATACTTCACAAATGATAATGATATACATTTTAGTGCTATATCAAATCAAACAAACACTTCCATATTTCACAAATGATACACATTTTAGTGTTGTATCAATCTCAAACAAAATTCGGTTTAGAGGTCCATCCCCCATCTTCCAATAAACCGTAGAGTACATCCCCCATCTCCTCCCACACAATATAATGTATATAAGCAATTATCATATACAAATTTAATCAATCAAGACAAATGATACACATTTTAGTTCTATATCAATGTCAATCAAAACACTTCTATAATTCACAAATGATACACATGGTAGTGCTGTATCAATGTCAAACAATATTCGGTTTAGAGGTCCATCCCCCATCTTCCAATAAACCGTGGAGTACATCCTCATCTCCTCCCACACAATACAATATATATAAACAATTATCATATACATGTTCAATCAATCAACACAATGTTTTGATGTATTATACCAACCACCATACTTGATAGCATACTCAATTGATTAGTTTTAATTTGCCTAATCATCATGCATTGTCTACAACAATCAAGACTATCCTCCACCGATAGCCCAAAGCAGTTATTTCTAAACAGAAAATAAATGCACCAACTGGATAAAATATCAACATTTTGTCTAGGTGAGCGATAAATTAATCCAACTACACCCTCTAATCTCATACCTTTCCAATTTGAATATTTCCTATTCAATTTCTCATTTCTCTAAATTAATTATACAAATTAACTTATCATAACAATTAGGGCTTTCTCCCATATTTACAATGCCAACCCTAAGGTTCCATTCTCCATCAATAATCCAACACCAAGTTCATTTTCCAATGTATTACATACATAACGGTTTATATGTTTGAAACCCCAACTTTTGAAAATTACATAAAGACCCCAAAATCTTCTCAAAATTTCCCAACAACCCCCAACATATCAAAATGCCAAAATTTAAAGACAAGGCTCATAAGATGGAGTAGGATATCCCTACCTCGAAGTTAGAGCTCAAACGGAAGAGGAGACCAAACCCAAAGTGCTCCAAACTCCAAACTTTTCGGATCAAAACGTAACCCTCGACGATCAACACACTTTTTGTAAAGGCCAAAGGGTAGAAGAACACTCTAACTAGATCAATCCTAAGAGAGAAAGGAGAAAGTAGTGAGAGAAGCTCTCAACAATTGCTTTTCGGAAAAGTAAGGGAGAGAGTGGAAGTTGAAAAGTGATTCAAAATAGCCTAGCCGTCAACTGATATACGACACCCCCGCTCGAGCGGATGATAGGACGCTCGAGCGTCAAATACGAAAGCTGGACCCGCTCGAGCGCAAGAAGGCCCGCTCGGGCTCCAAGACACAAAAACAAAACACATCCGCTCGAGTGTGAAAACCAATCTGCTCGAGCGTGGATTCTCCCCTCTCAGTATTTTCTCAGACAGTGAACACCCGCTCGAGTTCCAAAATGGCCCGCTTGAGCGCGACCCGCTCGAGCGTAGGGAAACCCGCTCGAGCGTGAAAAACAAGCCTCTGCAGTACTTTTGCAGAGGCACGAAATGCCGGAGGTATGGAATCCCCGCTCGAGCGCACAAGGACCCGCTCGAGCGGACCACTCAAAAACTAAGCAACAAGAATTTGAACTAAGGCTCAACCCACCTGTTCGAAACACACTCAACACATCCTAAAGCTCAGACATATGGAATTAAAGGATGACAACAAGACATACAACCACCAACTCCACGGAACCTAAGTCCAGAACACTATACATAAAGGGGACAAACCCGGGATCGCTATAGAGGTATACAAAAGTTACCAAGAAAGAACACAATTCAATGCAGTTGCATTCAATTTATAATTCAAAATTTGGCCCATGCAAAAGTATAAATTTTGGCTTGTTTCACTTCAAGGAACTTTACATATCATGGAAGGCAATCAAACACACTTGACAAAAATAGAATGATTTAAAGCTGAAAAGGGAGGGAAAGAAAAACGGAAAAAAGAACCAAAGATAGCAAATATACACCTGTAATTGGGTCAAAAATCACGACCCCACTTAGAAACACAATGGACTTCATCAATAGCAAATAGTGCTATTCTAAGGCTTTGAAGAGGTTTTACCAGTCTGTAGCAGAATGTATACATCTTTATTTATTAAACATAATTGCAGGCACCTTCCTAAAATACGTAGGATCACATAAACCTCTTACCTTAAAATTGTCTCTAGACAGACATGGGTAATGTCATACATGCCTTTCATTGATTTCTGCTCATTGACCTATAGCAAGACAACAACTGTCCATAATACAAAGGCTATATATAGAGAAAGGAAAAAAAAAAAAAACGTAACAAGCATATAAACATCATACATTCTTGAAAATGTCTCATTAATGAAAACTGTATATCAATATTTAGCAAATCTAAACTATTATGTTAAGCCAGGACCAGGGCTGGTCACCAATTCACAAAATATGAAATACTTTGGCATATAACCTATCAGGTGTATGTACCATGTCCCATCAACTATTTCATGACCCATTTACTATAGTTATAAGTTTTCTTACAGGAAAAACGTTTGTCTTGTATGCTGTCCAGAAGAAAATGACTATCATCATGGCCAAGTAATCACCAAGAATGACTCCAGTTACAAAAATTTCTGCCAGCTTCTAGCTATCAGGCTGAGGAGATGGTTTCACCCTATCCTTTTATATTGTCATGACGGTACCTGGCATGCCATATAGTTAGTATGTATTTAGAACCACACACACACACACACACACATACACAAATCGAGGCTAATGACAAGAAATATGCATGAATCTACAAGTAAGAAAAGGTAAGTGAAGTGTGACAAAATACAAATCATCGTTGAGGATGACAATGATCAGCACCATGAAGGGTGGGAAATCAAACCTCCATATGAGGGCGAACAACATATGCATTCACACTGACAATTCTTGAACACCAAAGTCACAAACATCCGGTAAAGAATTAAAACTTCACTTAGGCAGACTAAACAAACAAAACCAAACTATAAATAGTTATTTAACAGGATAGGGTAAGTTTTCTTTGTTTTACCAATATTAACAACCCAGCACGTGATGTCTTTTGCCATGTGCCAAAAGTTGATTATGGGGGGAAAAGGTTTTTGCACATATCTAGAGATACAAAGTTGTTGACACCTATGGCTCAAGCCAATAATGTAAAAGAATGAGGGGACAGTAGTTGAAAATATAGGTACCTTCTATATTTCTCTATGAGTACGATGATTTTGATCAAGGTCAAAAAATTTAGAATAAGGGACACTAGCCAGGGCAAAGACCAATAAATTTACTCCCCAAAGCCAAACCATCATAGTTTGCATCACCATAGCAAAAAAAAAATGTGTTGATACAAGGAAAGAAAAAAAAACAAAAACTAATTCAACAAAAAAATAAATAAATTAGATAGAATTCACTAACCACAAGAAAAAGAGGATTATAATACAAAAATGCCTCTTATAGAAATAGATCCTACAAGACCACACTCATTCTCATTACAGAATCCCATCCAATCTGAAACTTATGAATATGGGGCCAATCACAAAATAATAATAATAACAACAACAACAACAACAATAGAAGCAAAACCAAAAGCCTCACAAATTGAAAGACTAAAGTTCTTATAAGAAATGAAGAAAAAAAAATTGTAACTAACCTTGGAACAACCAAAACCCCAGATGAAAAACAACAATACCTGCATATAAACTCAAGTTAAAATATCAAATAGTATGTAAAGCCCCAGATAAGAACAATTTCAAAATGCTACAAGCTTAGATATAAAACAAACACGAGATGATTAACACAAAAGAAAATTTCAATATATCTAAATATGGCCCCCTTTGGTAGCACTTAAAAGCAACTTAAAGCTGCTTTTAGATTAAATTAAGTTATTTTGGTGTGTTTGGTAAAATTTAAAGGGATAGATTATAGCTTTTATTAAGCTATTTTCAGCTTAAATTTCTAAGCACCTCAGGGGTGCTTTTTGATTCAGCTTATACGCGAAGCTGAAATGACTTAAATGTCCTTCCTAATTGATGCTAATTACAAGTGTGCCATGTATATAAACCATTTCTTACTCATTCTTCCTCTCTCACAAAACGAAAGAGGCGATTTCCGGAGAGCATGGGCGATTTCCGGCGAGCATTCCGGCGATCGAGCTCTGTCTCTCCTCTCTCTCTCTCTTTCTCTCTCTCTCTCTCCGGTGTCCATCGCAATCGACTGGGTGAACCCTAGCTCTATCTTCCTCTTCACGATCGACGCCGACGGCGCAATATGAACCATCACAATCTGTCTTCCTCTTCTTCACGATCGACACCGGCTCTGTCTTCCTCTTCGCGATTTGAACCTGGCTCTGTCTTCCTCTTCACGATCAACAGCGTAACCCTAGTTCTCTCTCCTTCTTCGCGATCAACACCGGCGGTCAAGCTGGCTCTGGCTCTCTCTCTCTCTCTATCGATTAATCTGAAACCCTAGCACCGGTTTGTCCCACCGGAGCTAGGGTTTTCAGTTTTTTTTTTTTTTTGAGGCTTTCATTTTTATTATTTAATAAAAAATAATAATAATTAATGAATAAAAAATAATAATTGATACCATTAATAATTTTACTATTAATGGATGCTTATTAAACCATTAATTGCCACTAATTAATTGATAATGAAAAAATGAAAAAAATTTATACTAATTGATCCTATTAATAATTTTACTATTAATTGATGCTTATTAAATCATTAATTGCTACCAATTAATTTATAATGAAAAAATGAAAAAATGAAAAAAAAAATTATACCAATTGATCCTATTAATAATTTTACTATTAATTGATGCTTATTAAACCATTAATTGCCACTAATTAATTTATAATGAAAATATGAAAAAAAAATTATAGTAATTGATCCTATTAATAATTTTAATATTAATTGATGCTTATTAAATCATTAATTGCCACCAAGTAATTTATAATGAAAAAATGAAAAAAAAATTATACTAATTGATCCTATTAATAATTTTACTACTCCCTCCGTCCCAAAATATTAGTCCCTTATTCCATTTTTCATTGTTCCAAAATATTAGTCCCTCTTCAAAAATCAAGTACAAAATAATATAAATTTCTTATTTTGTCATTCTTTTAAATTAATAAACAACATAAAAAGTACAATTATGCATTGATGTTCCCAAAAAATGTACTATCAAAAGGATATTTTTGGAAAATCAAATTTTTTCAAATGTAATAATTGTACTACCAAAAAAAGTTAGATTCCCCAAAAGGGACCATTATTTTGGGACGGAGGGAGTATTAATTTATGCTTATTAAACCATTAATTGCCACTAATTAATTTATAATGAAAATATGAAAAAAAATTATACTAATTGATCCTATTAATAATTTTACTATTAATTGCCACTAATTAATTTATAATGAAAAAAATTATACTTTCCATAATGAAAAAAATTACTTTTCAGAATTAATATTTACTAAAAATAAAATATTACTAAAAATAATTAAAATGAATAATAATATAGAATAATAATAATATGAAAAATAATAATAATAATAATTGATGGACAAATTGATACTAATTTTAATAATCGATGAACAAATTAATAATAATAATAATAATTAATAATTGATACTAATTTTAATAATTGATGAGCAATTGATAATTTTTATACTAAAATCACAATTAATAATAATAATAATAAAGAAAAGAAATACAGAGAATATGTAATGAAATAGCAACATTAATATAAATTAGAACATGAATATTAATTTTAATGAATTAATAAATTAAAAAAGAAAATAAGGTGAAGAAAATAAAATAAAATAAAATGAAAAAGAAAAAGGAAAAAATGTATTATAAATGAAATCACAAATTTTATATCTTATAAGGGCAAAAATGACAATTATACAGAAAAAAACTATTTTACAGCTTATTTATGAAACACTACTTTGTTGTTTAAATCCATAATCCCACAGCTGCACCAAACAGGTTACCAGCTTATGTTCACAGCTGTAAGTTATAATCTGTTAAATTATAATCTATAATCACTTTCTCACAGCACTACCAAACGAGGCTTATATAGAATGTGAAATTACTAGAACTAAAATTAAATATATGAAATGTAACTTTAGGAAGGCAGAGAAAAATCGATTTAGAAGGGCTAATTTCAACAAAACTTAGAATGTTAGAATAGAAGAAGAGAAGAGAAGAGAAAGGATATACTTCAATCGCTCTGTTTTTTTTGGGGGTGAATACCTCAGTCACTCACCGCTGCTGTAGGCCACTGCTGCTCGCTGCTGCTTGTAGTCGCCGCCGATCAAAGGATGTAGGGTTAGGGTTTGGAGAGAGATGAGTGAGTGATAGGTTTGGGAATCTCAAAAAAAATGAATCGAATTGTGTTGTGTTGTGTGGGCTGCTCTACTGTGCAATAGAAAGAAAAAAAAAATGTCATAGCGGTTTGAACTTTTACAGATCAGAGACTAGAAATTTATTTTATATAAAATTAAAATTAAAAAAATACATACAATCACACTTATTTAGAAAGTGTGATTAAAAAAAGAAGATATAATCACACTTATTTAAAAAGTGAGATTAAAAATAAATATTATCACACTCCCTCAAGTTAAATGTGATTAAAATATCAATCTAATTTTTTTTATCACTTTTAATAAAAGTGAGATATTTTCATTTATTAAGGTATGATTTTTAACTATTTATTAAGGTATGATTTTTAACTATTTTTGTAGGAGTGTGGACTCTCGAACCTGTGAACTCATTCCAGATTAAGAACATAAAACAAGATTTTACTATCAACCAACAAAGATGTCATTCATGAAGAATAACAAAATGCAAGAAACAGCCATGATACTGAATCATCATGAACACAGGATTGCCCATTTATTTCCTTTCTTGTAGCTGACTGAATCACAAAATGCAACATTTTCTCTCCATCATATATGAAAGCAAAAATGGCATCAACTACACTCAATAATACAATAATTAGCCACTTAATTTTGGTGCTCTAAAAAACACAAAGGTAAATAGTCTTGCCAATCCATTTCAGCTACGCTGGGAAATAATCCGACTCCCAACAATTTAGTAGTGAACACGACAATGTTCAGCCTGCCACAATGATCTCAGAAAAGCATATTTCCTTTTATCTGAACCACCAAAATTTGCATCCATTCAACCCCAAAATTAAAAAATCCTTCCACCTAAATTTGTAATGAAGCAGAAAAACTAATTTCCTTACCCTTCATACTCAGAACCAATATCTGGCAATTTATCCCTTCTGATTTGAGAAAGATAACTCCTTAAGAAAAGCCCACGTACAGGGTGTTGTATGCCACGGCACATTTCCACAAGATCCTTAAGGACGTCCTTTGCAGGAGCTTCCTTAGACTTGATGCACACAAATCCCACTGTACAAAGGAGATACCTGAGAAACAACCGAGCAGAAAATTCTTGAGAAACAAAGAGCACCTCTGTTTTGGCGCAGAAAAAAACTAAAACAAAAGATATAGTATATAATGTAAACTGAAATTTTGATAGGCTTGTGTGTCTCTGAAGAACAGCCAAGAATGCAACATTGCCTAAAAAACAGGTGGGGATTTTTTTAAAAAGTTTATGCAGATGTTCTGTTACGAGTAAGAAAATGAAATATAACATTGACTGCCTCATCAAAAAAATACATGTATATACCAACGTATCTTAGCCACTAAAAAATTGGAATGAAGAAATAAGTAGCTTGGGGCAAAGTAATCATGACTCTTCCTATCTATATGATACCAGAAGTAAATTATGATCAAGAATCAAGTAAGCATGCATACCAACATACAAAGAAAGTTAAGATGGATGAGACCACCAATTCATTTCAACACCCTTTTTCAGTAAACTCATTCCATGAATAAAACAATTTGGAAAGATCAACTTCTCTCCAAAACACATCTGCAATGAAGCAAGAACCATATAACCAATACAAACTCCCAAGGCCAGAAAGAGCTTCACTTTATGACAGCATGAGCATCACTTGTATGAAAGAGGAATTTAATAAGAGCCTATAGTTAAATACAGGCATACAAAGTTCTTAAGAGGGCCTAATTGAAGTCCATTACTTTTTTCAAACCACATGGCTCCATTGAATTCTTCAAGCAAGGCAACCTGCAACCATAAAAGTTCTAGGACATAAACTATGCAAACCTCCGCATATGTGCAGATAAATGGTAAGAAAGTGATAGCTGAAAAGGTTCATGTTTTAGATAAAAGACATTATCCAAGGAACAATGAGCAGGAAAAAAAGAAAAGAAAGGAAGAAAGAAAGGAAAGAAGTAATGAAGGAAAGGAAGGAAGGAAGAAAGAGAGAAAGTATAACGGGAAACATGAGACTTTTTCTTGTCATGTAAAATCATGAT